AAGTATTTTTATACAGAATTATTTTAATATTAAAATCTGTATGTCTCAGAATGAAACGTTTGCCTGTGGCGTATCTGGGCTGTCAGGCATACGGATGGAGAGATGCTGGTGCAGTGCTGGGAGCAGGGCGGCCCAGCTGAGCAGTGTTCACACGGTGGCATGTTTGTGTCTGTGCCAGAGCTACTGAGCTAAGAGGAAACCGCAAAGAAGAGCGTGTGCCGGGTTCGGCTGTGGTTAGGATGCCCTGATGCCAGGGGATTAAGGGATATGAGAGTCAGGCTTGCAGATACTTTTAGGTGCCGATCGGGGCACAACATGTTGCGATGGCCTCCGATTGTAAGGTGGGCAGGGCCAGGCGCCAGCTCTGCTGCAGCTCCGTGACTGTTGATAAGTCACAGGATCTCTCCTTCCCCAGCCTGACCCCTCTGCTGATCTCCCCCTGCTCCCAGCTGCTCTTGGAAAACCTGGGATGGCCCAGTCTGGATCCCATTGACTTTAATGGCAAAAACTATGCCCTGCTGTGTGGTCTGAGGCCAGGGGTTTGGCTGTGATTCCTGTGTGGCCAGCCTTGGGCAGAAGCCTATGCAGGGGTAAAACAGGTTGTCCTTTTGGTGCTGGTAATGGTTGTGAGAGATTTTGTGTCCCTTCTGTGCGGGGCTAGACCAGGCACCCTGGCATTGGCTGTCCCTGAGTCTGGATGGGGCTTGCCTTCTGCAGGTTTACCAGCCTGTTGATGTAGAACAACTGGCTGCAAAACAGCCAGCTGACAAGCAGCCCTGATGATTTACCTGTGCAGAGGACTAAGCACGACTTCTGCCGCCCCAGCTCAGACCCAGGGAGCCACAAACCGTTGGGGAAGTCTGGAGGATCAGGTTCAGGTCCCCAGACTGGTGCGAGGTGACAAGGCGGTGAGCTCTGGGCATTTGTCTGGTCCCAGGTTGCAGGGGGGAAGCCTCAGTCCTGTAACAATACAGCGCAGCTGTAGGCAGGACCACTTTGTGGCTGTTCTCCTGTGCTGGGTCCACTTTCCCACTGGGACTTTGCTGCAGGAGAAGGGAAAAAGCCCAAGGGGCTTTGGGAATCTGAGGGAGGCTGAGGCAGTTCCTGCCTGGGACGAGAGGCACAAGCAGCAGGCGTCTGCTGCTCGTGGTTGGCTGCTGGGTGGTCCCATGCTTGTGTTCCAGTCCATGGTCCATGTACGCGTCCCAGAGCAGTTCTGCCCGCCTGCTCCAGAGAAGAGCTCTGGGCATTGCTTAGCAGGGGGCCCAGGCCGCCTGTCCATAATCCTTGCTCATGACTCCAGTGTGAGGCTCCAAGACTTAAACGATGACGAGCAGCCTCCCAGGAGCAGAGCCCCAGGGCTCTCCCTTCCATACGGCCGTGGGTATTTGTGCAACTCCATCACTGCGGTCACTGTGTCTCAGTGCACTGCGTCTGCTCCGTCCTGTGGAGCTGAGTGTGGTGGACATGCAAAGTGGCTCACCCAGCTTTCACTGAAGAGGGTGACGGTGAGGAAGGAAAATGCTCCAGCATCTGTGCCAGACCAGTGGTCCCTGCACAACCCTGCACTCCTCTTGGCTGGGAGAAAAGGGTATTTATTTTTCTTGCTTCAGCAATGACATAATCTCTCATAACAGCTGGCTCGGGACTAAGATGTAAGTGCGCAGGAGAGGAGGAGTGCTCCCACGCGTGGCTTGCTTTATTTATGCACCCTGCCGCACGACAGAGAAGTGCGTGCGGCGGAGAAGGCTCTTAGTCTCTGCTGATCAGGAGAGACAGTCCATTCTTTCCTGGCTGAGTGTTGTAGACCAGACCTGTCACCTTGCTCAGACTGCTGCTCTGTGCTTCACTTTACCTCCTTTCTGGCAGCAGTTCAGGGTGTAATAGATGCTTTGGGAAAGCATAAGAAATAAGATAAAGAGTGAGCCTTTGGCTGGTCACAGCCTTCCTGTTGCTAAAGCAAAAGTCTGCAATGAACCCTGACTTTAGGACCAGGAGGTGATCTTTCTGGATTCTACCTAGATTAGGATTTCTTCCATCTGCCTTCACAGAATCATAGAATGGTTTGGGTTGGAAGGGACCTTGAAGGTGATCTACTTCCAACCCCCCTGCCATGGGCAGGGGGATACCTTCTACTAGATCAGGTTGCTCAAAGCCTCATCCAGCCTGGCCTTGGACACTTCCAGGGAGGGGGCATCCACAATTTCTCTGGACAACCTGTTCCAGGGTCTCACCACCCTCACGGTAAAGAATTTCTTCCTAATACCTAATCTAAATCTACCCTCTTTCAGTTTAAAACTGTTACCTGTCATCCTATCACTACACTCCCTGATAAAGAGTCCCTCCCCATCTTCCCTGTAGGCCTCCTTTAAGTACTGGAAGGCTGCTATAAAGTCTCCCCCAGAGCCTTCTCTTTAGGCTGAACAACCCCAGCTCTCTCAGCCTCAGCCAACCCCCAACTGCCCCTCAGCACGATCATCTTTGTGGCCCTCCTTCTTTCCCTTTCCTTTGCCTCACTTCCACTGTCTCCTGATAACTAATTTCCATGTGTTGAACAGCGGAGCACCTGGGTGCAGCTCAAACACAGCTGTGGCAGGTCACTGTGGTTGTGTGCCATGGCTGAATTCAGTCTGTGTACTTGGAAAATGGCATCCTGGCAGCCAGTCCTGAAAAAGGCTTTGCTGAGGGGCTTGGGGATGCATGGCTTACGCTCGGCTGCTCATTCTGCCCATTTTCTTACAGTGCAGAAACGGTCCTGGACGAGCAGCTTTGTTTGCTTCTGCCCAGTCCAGGTGCTGTGGGCCAGACTGGGTGGTGCATGGGAAGTCCTTTGGATATCAGACTTCCTCATGTGAGGACAGCCTGTGTGCCTCCCTGTTCTCTGCTAACAGCCCATGCCCCAGATGAGCTGAGAAATGTCAGAGTACTGATCTAGCAGCCACAGCTGGGATGCAACAGAAGCAGAAGTCTTGATCTCTGTAGGCTAGATGGCAGTTTTTACCAGGAGAACATGACTTGGGAGCTGCTCAAAGCCCAACTAACCTCTTCCCCTTGGGGCTACGTTTTTCTGTTTCTCGTTCTGAAAGATATGCCCTTTTATAACTGCTACCTCCTCCCCTTTAGGGACTAGCGTGGTGCAGGCATGAGACAACTGTTCTGCCATTCTCACGCTGGCGTTAGGGAAAGCACCCAAGTTCCCTCTGGCTGTCCAGAGTTGGTCAGAGCAACAGCAGTTACTGCCCTGCTTCACACTGTGGTGATCAGGTGGTGGGCTTTTCAACAGGGACCCCCAAACAGCCCCAATTTTGTGATTTGCTTCCTTTTACAATCCCTCTTCCCAAGTTTCCCCTTTAGCAGCTTCCTTCTATCAGCAATAAATCACAAGCCCTTGTTTGCTTACCCCTTCCCATCAGCAAGGTGTTTTGTTGACTTTGTACCCCAGTTTGGTATTTTTAATATGGTTGCCGAAGTAACTTCCACCTGCATCATCAGTTCAGTCAAGCTCATCCCCCGATGTCGTTCTCCCTCTCCCCCCCAGTCTGCCTGATTTTCCTTTTCATATTGCTGTCTGGTTTGCATGCCCTAGGCTGGGCCATTTGTATGTGCGTTACTGCCTTTGCGACTGTTCCTTCCCCAGTTCATGCCGTGAGCTTGTTAGAGACAGGCAGGGGTAGGCCACCAGCTTGCACACCCTAACCAACCCCTGTCCCTGTGCCTGCAGGGGTGCCTGCCCTTGGCATCTTACCCCTGCCAGGCATGGAGTGCTGCTAGGGCACGGGAAGGGCAGGTCCCTGCCCCGGGGGGCTAGCAGGCCTGTTACTGAGCTGGGATCCCAGGGAAGAGAGACGGCTCTGCTCTGCTGCTGCAGCAGCCCCCGGGAGCACGGTGTTTGCCTTGTGCCCTTGGTCGACTGCAGCTGTTTCTCAGGCAGTACAGGTCAGTGCTGGGATTGCTGCATACAGTACCCGTTATAAACTACAGGCAGTAAGTGAACATTACGGTGGATAACTTTATTTTGAAACAGCTTGTCACAACAAAGTAAGTAGAACACAAACCCCTGCTGGTGCTTGGTGTCCAGGAAGCCCAGTGAGACCACTCCATCTTGCCTCAGTCAAGCTGCCCTCAGCTCCTGCCCTGCCCTGTCCTATGTCTGCATCTGTGCAAGCACTGGGCAGAAGCTTTCTGGAAGGCTCCAAGCCTACTCCCCCCATCTTCTGAACCCTGCCAAAAAGTTCTTGCTGTGTTGGCTTGCAGAACAGCCCCATAGGCACAAACGGGCCATAAGGAGCAGAGCATCCAAGCAGCAGTTGGCTGGGAGAATGGTGCTGTGCTGCAGCTCCAGCTGCGGCGAGCTGTCACTGTGTAGGAGCCAGCCGGAGCATTAAGGCTGGCTTGGCACTTGCTACAAACCCCTTCATGAGCTGGGGAGTTGGACAGTGAGACCAGTTACGGAAGCAGGCAAATCGGCATCATCACGGGTAGTCCTGCTCTCAGGAGGGCAGCATTCTGGGCTTTAAGATTAAATTCAAAAGCCCTGTTTTATGCCTAGTCGAACAACCTGCTTAACCTGCTCCTGCAGGACGAGGGCAGCTTGACATTACTGCCTGCTTTATCTATCTGTCTGACTTCCTCACTGCCCCGCTTGCAGCTTTTCTGCGCCCGCTGACAGCAGTCTGTGGTTTGTGGTCTGTACTAGCCTAGTCTCAGAAACCAAAATTTGAAGCATGCTGGTGATGCGTGCTGACAAGAATGGGAAATACGGGGTGTTGCTGACTCTCTGGACAGAGGGCCCCCAAGCAGCAGGCTTCCTGCAGACTGACTTGGTGACTAACAAAACCATAAAACAACAAGGAGGAACAAACAATGGGAAGTGCCTCTCTGACCAAGGCCAAGCTTAGTGTCCTGCCTGACCACTTCCAGCCCAGTGCGTAAGGCCTGGCAGCCGAGCAAGAAGCCAAGCCCTGACTGCACGTGCGCAGGCTCGAGCAGTGCCCTGGGGTTCACTGCAGGAACTCGTCGTACTCTTTGGGGAGCAGGGAGCGCTCACAGGAATCTCTCCTCATCGCTGCTGGTCTGAACACTGGGACAGGAGAAGGAGCCATCAGAAGGGGGGCCACCGTGGCTTTGGCTCTGCTCTGATGCTGCAATACAGGGACAAAATAGGAATGCACCTTGTGCAGGGAGGCACTGGCTTGTCCAACAGCACACTGTCTGCACGTGCCGGCTGTTCAGCGCCCCGCTCCTCAATTCATGAGCTTATGCTACACCCGTGCCTCCGCTCTGCCAGCTGCAAGGGAATGTTGCCCCTGCCACGTGCTGCCTTCCCTGCACCGCTGGGGTATCAGGGAGCTGCCCGCAGCCCTTCTGCAGGAAGCAGACCAGAAGGGCAGAACAGAGACTATCTAGGCTAATCAAAGGCAAGAGACGTACCTGCTTGGGTTGATGCCGCTCTGGTCGCTGGTCCCTGGGCTGGGCCTGCTGCCTGTGCAGAGGTTTGTACAACATACTCTTCAGGTATTTGTAGAGGTTGCTTTTTAGGTGCAAGGGGTTATAAGCAACTTCCACTTCCAAGCTGTTCAGGGCACTCTGCTCAGACAGAAGAAAGCACCTAGAGGCTATGAGATGTGACAGGTAGAGGCTGTGGGGTTTGCTTGGGGTTTTTTGTTGCTTTTAGCATTAAGGGGTTTTTTTGCAGGCATGAGTGTTGCAGATGCTCCATGCCACCCTGCCATGATGGGAGAAGGGATCTTTGGCTGTGCTGCTACCCATAAGGACCACTCTTAGCTGTGTATAGAACAAGAGGCATCCGCAACCAGGTCTTAATGGATTTAAGCATTCCCTTGCAGGATGCAGTCCTATCCTCCCCCATGCCCAGAATCAGCCAACAAGCTGGAGCACCTTTCTGGGCACCGTCACCCTCAACTCCCTGCTTCATAAGACCTCTTCCCCCTCCCCCCAATAGACATGCAACATTGCTCCGAAGGACAGGCATTTGCTGTCCGTGAAGAAAGCTGTAGGATATATTGGCTGCTGGGAAGAAGTTTTGGAGTGCTCCATAATATTCCAGCTGTCACTAGACATTTTCACAGCTGCTTCCTCCTCTACTCATCTGCTAAGACCTATAGTGAGGGCTCTGCCCGTCCTGGCATCACCTGAAGCAGAGGCAGACAACTCAGGAGAACATATGGATGCACAATAGGAAATGCAGAAGCCTGAATCTATTGGAAGAAACAGAGGCACTTTATGTATTGATTTATCTTATGCCTAAAGCACCTCTCTCTGCAGTCTGAGGAGATCCACGTTCCCCAGCAATGAGGGAGGTGATACATACATCTTCAGCAGCAGCTGCATGTCCTGTGCATAAAGGCTGATCATTACTCTGATCCCCGCTTGTACAACCGGGATCCTTTCCGTGGATATTTGTGCAGGACTGTCAATGACTTACCTCTATAGCGCCATGCACTCTCTCAGGATGTTCAGCAAGGAGGGCTGGGAAGGTTGACGGCAGCAAGAGCTCTCTGGTGGCGACGGCTTTGACAAGTAGAGTGGCAGAGTCGGAAGGGACAATGATGTAGTAGGAATGCACCATGATGTTCCAGTTTGGACTAGTGTTCTGTGGCTCTCGTTTGGCCAAAAGCATCCACTTCCTTTTCTAAGTGGCAAAAGCCAAAACTGATGTGAACAATGGGCAACAGCCACTTCCTTCAGCACTTTCACTGTAGGGGCTGCTGGGTTCAGGAGCAGGGACATTCACACACATCAGAATAAGAACACTATTCTGCATTATGGTTGGGGATAGTATGTTGTTTGGTTTTTTTTTTTTAATTGAGTGCAAGACAATTCTTAAAAACATCCAATTTTCCTTTACGACTTGTCAGTAATGGAAAATCTTCCACATCCCAAGCCTTGGTTAATTATTTTCACAGTTAAAGATGCACATCTAACTCCAACCCTGACTTTTGTACTTCATACCTCCAAACACTGCATTTCTGAGAGGCTAGAGAGTCTTCTCTAAGGTTTGATGTGCTGTAGCGTCTTTCCAGTGGATGCTAATCCTTGGCTGGAAGGATTTACAAGCCCGACTCTGGCCCATGAGATGAAGCTGCAGCTTTTGAAACACGTTTCCTGGTGCAGGCTATTCAGATCTTACTAGACGTGCACTAACTATTCCTTTCTATGGCAATCCCTCCCCATGAGACTGTGATTTTCACACACTTACCAGAAGACTATGACATAGAGCATGGAAGCTGTGCTGGTTTATCTCCAGTTCATCCCAGTCTAGCTGCCAGCAGCTTGTGGGCTTGATGATGAAGGGCAGACCATACAGTATGGACTCACAGACCCCTTCAGACTTCAGAGCCCTGCAAATACACAGCTCATGTTAGTGAAGCACAGCCAACATGAAACCAGCAAGAAGACTCTACCAGGAGATGACTAGCTCGAGTGGCTATGGCAGTATCAGCTGCAATGCTGCTACAAGCACTCAATGTCTGTGTTGCTGTGGCCCGTCACTATGAAACCTTGCAGAAAAGTCCAACTCTAGTGAAGGGCTTTCTTGCTGATTTCCAGATCCAGATTCGCTTGTGTCTGCGTTGACAAGAGCATGCCAAGAAGCAAATCCAGTCTTCATGCGCTGCTACAAGCACTCAATGTCTGTATTGCTGTGGCCTGTCACTATGAAACCTTGCAGGAAAGTCCAACTGCAGTGAAGGGCTTTCTTGCTGATTTCCAGATTCGCTTGTGTCTGCGTTGACAAGAGCATGCCAAGAAGCAAATCCAGTCTTCATGCATTTCGTATACAAAACAGATTGTTAATCTGGCCTCTTGGGCAATAACTCACCCAGGCAATTACGTCTCTTCCTAAGTGATTTTTACTGGACCGTGGTTATCCTTCACTTAAACTGACATGTGCTCAACTCCTGCACAGAGCCAACATCCTACCACAAACACCACTACAGACTTTACAGTGCTTGACATCGCCTGTCCATAGCACACTTCTGCTTCACGACAGGGCATTATTAAGCAGCTTCAGTGCTTTGGCTGTGGGCCACTTATGCACAATTACTGAGTGCTCTTCAGCTACTGACAGGATGAGAATCATTTTAAGAACAACTGCATAGTTCAGAAATTACACAAATTTTTTCCTATGAATAAATCTCAGAAAAGACACTAGAGAGCATCACTCTTCTTGTTATGCTCTGTGCTTACCAGCCACAGACTGCTGACGGGAAAGCGAGTAAATTCTTACATGAAGTCACCCAGCACTATGAGGCTTTGCTTGCTTTTCTACTAGTAGTCAACTAGTTAGCTCAGGCTCTCACATCCAGTTGCTTGCTGTGGCCTCATTAGGTGGTGAGAAAACAGCAGAATTACATATGGTGCAATGGCTGCAATCTACAGAACGTCACACTGGAGGGAAACAACTGTTGTGTGCATAACATCTATGGTGTTACACTCATAAAGTGCTAGTGTCGTGGTAACACCGTTTTTGACCCTGTGCTCCTGTTTGCAGCTGTGGGATGTGCTGTTCCACAACACAAAGAGTTACGCGGGTTGAGGGTATCTTACATCACAATTTTGCTCACTAGCACTTTGAGCCCCCCAGCGCTTTATGGCGGTGTTACTAGGTCCTAGCTGAAATTGCACAGAAAGAGTGAAGGCTGCTACTATACCAGCCTTCCAGTTACCAAACGCAAAGCACGTAACGACTCTTACTTTACAACCCGGAGTTTATACAGCACCGTAGCTGGCCAGGCTGCCATCTGGCAGGGTGAATTCAAATCTGCTGCTCTCACGGTGCCATCAGCCATCCCAGAAAGTAAAGCTGGGTCGAGCAATCTCTCCTGCAAATCGCACTTCAGGCACACTAGGAGAAAGAGATTGGTTTAGATTGCTGGAAATGGTAATGTTTAGCACATGACATGCTCAAGGCACTTACAAACACTAAGTTAATGTTTTCTAGCAACAGGAACTATTAAGGGAAGAACAACGCTAAAGCCTGTGACACGAGGCAACAATCTATCCCCATTTTACATACAAGGGGAAATACCACATGCTTGGCATGTTAATGAAACAATGGTTGGTAACTGGGCAGGCAAGTTCCAGTTTTGGCGATGAGTGGCCAGCTGTAGAGACAGCATAAGCTCGTTTCCCAGTGCCACACTGGGTTGGGGCCACGCATTTCCTGCTAGCTTTTCTATCTGTGTTTGTGGAGAAACCCAGCACGATGACACTAACTCTGGTATAATATACTATACAGCTGCCTACAATTTCTCTGGCCTTCTACAGATTTCTTGAGTGTGGGAAGGTGAAAAAACCTGACTGCAGTGTAACTAACTTGGTTTGCCTTGCTAGCTACAATAAGACAATGCATCAAGTATGAAATTCAATGTTATGATGAAGGAAAATCCACCTTTAACAAAATACCATAATTGCCTGTGCAGGTCTGGAGGCTGTTATGGTAGCTACTACATAAATAAAAAGTCACACCAGGCTTTCTGATCCGCTTGCTGTGGAGCATATCTGCAAAAGCCACCAGCAGCGCTCTATGAACTTTGCTTCCAGTCTGGAACTGACCTGTGGATGACCAGAAGAAAACAAGTGTGCTTCTGCTGTGATGGCAACGCGAAGCTGCGCACAGTACCATACTGGAGTGGCATATAGTACCATATTGGAGAGGCATATAGTACCATATTGGAGACGCATATAGTACCATATTGGAGAGGCATGGAAAGGGGATTGCCAGAACTGCATGTGCAGATTCCCATGGCAGTGCAATGGTGACAATACAGTTAACAACAACTTAGGGGAAACACCTATGTCTGCTGTAGCTTTTGGTGTTTTCAGTGCTCACCCAAGGATGGATTAGGGACTTGGACTTAGACTAGTAACAGAAAAAAAATTACATATTCCTTACAAATTTTCCTGTGCATTATTATAACTGCTGGCAGCTCCAGCTAGAACATTGCTATTTTAGTGCTAAATCAATAGATATAAATACAATCCAAGTCCATTTGTAAAACAGCCTTTATTTAAGTGCAGCTCTGGCTCAGACTTTCAGTATCAAACACAAGGAACACAATTCTTAGGGCTATACAACTGAGCCAGAAGGTCCTTGGCTCTCAGTATGTAAGGCCCCTTTTACTTTGACCAAGTGGCTATAAATTCACAGACTCTTCAAGCCACATTTTTGTTGCAGAATGGAAATGAATTATAGCATCAGCAGCCACAGGTCATGGCAGCAACCTAGAAGTATTCTAAGCAAATGGCTTTTGTCTCAGCCTGAGACAACAGAAACTCCAGACAGTTTTGAAAGTCACCCAGAGACCTTACTTGGGTCTCTAAATGTGAGGGAACATGCCCATAGGACAGGCCTGGGTAATCTTTAAGGCTGTGGGATTTAGGAGCTCCCTGAGAGGGCGAGAGAAAATGAAATACTTAGGGTGGTCTTGGGTGCAGTGGCATGGCTGAAGCCTCCTGATGGAAGGAGGAGATGGAGGTGTTCTCTCTCTGTGCCATAATCATGTAGCCATGTTTTAAACAGCATCTCCAAGCTGATGACATTGTCCTCTATAGTTTGCGCATCGATGTCCATTCCCAGGATTGCAATGTCTGCATGAAAAAAAGGTGAACAAGCACAAATATTTTCAGCCATAGAAAAGAACATTCTTTTGCATTTTCCACTACACTATACCTCCTTAGTCCCTCAAGTGCTTTCACGTTAAGTGCTTCAGGAGCCATTACCATGCAGATCGCAGCACAGCACAGCACTGTGATGCCAGCCCTCTTAAAAGGACATTGCTAGAAGCTGAGCTGCTCCACAGGCCACACCAACACCCTTCTCATCAATGGGGTGGGTGGACTGGCTACTACCGTCTGCAGAGGACTAGTTGTGACTGATGCAAACCATCCTCTGCTGTGGTCATCTTATCACTGGCCTCAGAGACTCTTCTCACAATTTCAGAGATTCTTCTCACAATTTTAAACCATTTCCTCCTTTTCCCTAAGCAAAGGACACTAGATATGTGATGCTAGGAGAAATCAGAGAGACTGCAAAACTGAAATGCTACAATAATGAGGAATTTTGTAGTCGTGATGGAAAAGTGCTACTCCTCATACAGAAGATGAACGTTACTTTGCAATATGGCCCCATGACTAAATTGCTAAACACCCTCAACGTGTTTAAAGGAGCAGCTAGTCATAGACCTGAGAAGAACAGAAGCAAAACTTGACCTGGACCTGACCAACACAGAGGACATTTTTCAACACGTTACTGTTGACGTGCTGCTTGGTAACACAGCAATCCCACAGCAGAACATCCTTGCAAATACAATAACAGCCAAAACTATCCACCACCGTTACATTTCATTTCAAACAAGTGAAATGCATAAAATTTAGAGACTTGTTAAAAAGGAATTAAAAGCAGAAAGTAAAAATGTTTGCAAGGACATAGCAAGTACCTGAGCTACCATGTGGGAGGTGCAGAGCAAATGTATATGATCTAGCAACAACATTTAGGAATGGAGAAATGTAGACTGGACAGCACAAGGAGGTCATAAACAAGATTAAACCCTTGCAAAAAAACCCAAAACTCAAAACACCCCCAAATTGCATCCAAATGAGAAGCTAGCATAAAGAGAAGCTAGCAGATTAAATAAAAGAATAAAATAGGTAAAAGTGAAAAAAAAAAAATTTATGAACAATTTGAAAAATGCTAAGACGTGTAATATACCCATTTGTAAACACAGAAGGAACAGACAGCCTGGTAGCATTAACAGGGTCACCATACAGCTGGGATGTGAAACAGGGATTCTGGGAAGATGAATACATAGCCGAAATAGCCTTTTTTTCCTAATGTGTTTACCAGGCCAGCTGGGGACTAAAATACACTGCTACATCCAGCTGCGATGAGAAATCTTTTCTTTACGCATTAGTATTTATAGTTTGCAAAAAATGACACTATGTCTGCTCCTACATTAAAAAAACAAACAAACAAAAAAACCC